GGGGGGGGGTGGCGACTTTACATCTTGGTTGTGCGGCTCTCTGGCAAAAACTGCAACTGTCGGCATAAACAGAGCTGCGCACAACTGTGGTCCGACAGCGGTAACGGGCGTTTGCGCTTACATTTCTGTCGGATATTCAGTTATAACACTCCCTTCCAAAGTTTGTGATGTCGGATGGAAGTCTATCTATGACACAGCTGCAGAGGTGCAGAGACGGTTTTGGCGGGGGACGCAGCATCTTTGCGTGCGTGTCTGCAAAGGAGCCTGTACGTGTAAAATTATGTGAAACTGAACTGGTTGACGACCGCCAACAAGTACAGTTTATGACAATACAATGAAGGAGGAGCCAGCTCAGCATTGCTGTCCCGCATGATCCGGAAGACGAACACCAATAGGAATAGGTATCTATCGAAAATCATTAGCATTTGGTGTGATGCCCATGTTACCTCATGCCTTCAGCAGCCAACAATCTGAGTACTGTACCATGCACTCAGGTTATAACCTGAGTCCATGGTACAGTATTTTGCAGACTTCTTATCCCGAAGTCCACGTCCTTAACTCATATCATTCGAATACTATATTACGAATAGTATATTACCATCGCTCCTGCCTCGCCCCATCCCCCCTTCCTATCTCCCTTTGGTCCGACGTTCCACTTTCCATGAACATCTTTATCCGGCACCGTGATATTTCGTACACGTCTTACGTATATCTCGTCCGCTCTACTCTTGTTGGATCCTGATCCACTCGCTATCTTCGTCTTCCGAAACATTGCATCCCGACCCTCCCATGCCGTATACGTCTCCGCTTTATAAGGGCGCCAGCTGCTGTCCACTGCACCCCCATTCCTCCGCACTCTTACCATCGTATCCTCTCTTGGCCTTCCCATCTCTCAGCCTTCCCCCATGAATCTAAACACTTTACTAGACGCGTCTATGGCCTTCGACGCAATTCTGAACCGATTGCACAGTGCCATATCTTTTGGTGACTCTATCCTCGCCCACCGCGTTACCCGTCATCAGAATTCAAAGCTCACCAAGCTTCTCACTGAGCTTATCGCGGTGTACCGCTCCCACAACCTCAAACATCGCATTCTTAACCTCAAACGGGACCTTGTGAAACAAGACCCCGCCTTCTTTTCCTCCGCCGATAAATCGCAATTAGAGACCCTAATGCGGCACGACGCTCTCAATTTCTCCAAGCCTGCTAACGTGCTGCACATATTGTTGAATACCCTTAACTCTAACAAGTCGCAAGAAGAGAAGAGCGCAGAGCTGAAAACGGTGTTGCAGAGGGTGGATGGGTTCCGGGATGCTGCAGAGAGGGCTCGTGCGATCGTGGATAAGCTGAAGAATATCGCTGGCAAGTATATCACTAAAGAGAATCATCACGGGTGTCGACCATCGACCAAAGGCGAGGTAGAGTCGTTCAGGAAGAAATATATTCGTGTTTTCGGCACCGTGCATGTCCCGGATAAGTTAGAGGCTTCTAAACCCCGCAAGGAGACGACTTTAGAGCGGAAAGACAATTGCTCCGGTGACAATTGCGTACCACAGAAGTCCACTAAGGATAAAAGGTCGAATCCGAGTGCAAATCATAAGAAGTCATGTCTACCTGAACCGAAGAGGGATCCAAAGGCGACTCCAGAGGCTTGTGATGATAAAAAGACACATTGCCATACCAAGCCTGGGGAAAAGAACGTAGCTAAGGGCACTCGAGTGAAAGCTAAGCCAGAATTTACGGTATTCATCAGCTTCTGTGACCTCGACAAAAACACCATAGCCATCCCACTTCATGCCAGATTGACCAAGAAAGGCATCTCCAGTTTTTGCGGCAAGCAGTCGTTGATTCCTGGAGAAGACGTTCGTGAAGCAAGGAATCGCGCACTGAGGTCAGCAGCAATCTTCGTTTTCATCTTGTCACCAGAATTTGCGTTTCGGGAAACAAACCAGGAGGATTTGTCATATGCCCTCAAACGTTCGAAATATGCAAAGAAGAGCAAGACCGCAGGGCCGATCTTACTACCAGTTTACCATCGGATGACAACTGAAGAGGCAAACAAAGAACTGTTCGACCTCCAAGCTCCCAGGAACCAATATTCCACAAACAGCCACCGTTCTGCTTCTGCTGCTTCAATTGTAACCGTTTGCCGGAAAGAAGGTTTCCAAGAGAGAGTTGAGAGAGGAGAAGCAAAGTTCGCTGATGTACGAAAATTATTCGAGGAACTGGACGGAATCGCAGATGTTGGGCCCGGCATGAATTCGTCAAACGCAAAACATCCAGAGGCGACAAAAAATCGAGAAGAGGTATTGAGCCTCACAGAGAAGGCCGTGAAAAGTGCCATGCATCGGTTAAACAACCAGTAAGCCATCTTTTTTGCCGCAACCCCGTAGTCTTTCATCTCCAAGCACAACATCAGGAATGGCCAACAAAGTGCTAGGGTTTTCGTAGTTTTCACAACAAGTTTCTCTTATTCGCCTTCTCACAACGTTGCCATCACAGCATTTCACCATGGATCACCGTACCGTAAATCTATTTCCAATTTTCTCTCACTGACTGTTTATGGGGCAGAGAGTGTGTGTGCATCTTTTGAAGTTTCTAACCTTTTGATGAGAAGGACGGCGGTTTATCCTGGCGGATTGCCGAATATCTTCGGATATCTACAAGCAACGATAGTGGGAAATTCTGTTTTCGCTGCGAGAAATCCACTCGGGACGCAGAATGGCGGTCAGTATCAGAACTGCGACGAACGAACAAAGAGCCAGAGCATGCGCAACTTCTTCTGAAAAAACGACTACAAGCGGAAGTTGGAGATGAAGAACGAATAGCAGTGTAATACATTCACAGACAAAAGGAATCATGTCCTGCTATACCAGAAAAGTCAGCCATCTCACCGTCAGAGAAGTAGTACGTCTTTAATTCTTAAAATCAATAGTAGAAGATGTAAACGAAAATTCCGTTGCTGCTGTAGAGTACGTTGAGTTTTCTATACATGCTACCCTTAAGGGTACATCTCTTGTGAATGTGACACGATAGATGTCCCCGAAGAGGCCACGCCAACCTCTAGTTCAAATATAAGGACGAGAGTCAGATCCTGCGTAAAAGAGAGTGCGATGGCCTTCTCGATGAAAACACCCAACGCATCGCTTTCAACATTTTCGACATTCATAGTGTTTCTGTGAAGTAGAGTACACCAACTGCAGAATCACATTCGATCTGCCTCCAGTGGTTTCGCGTAGATTGAGGTTACAGAAACTGCAGTCATTACTTTTACCAAATTGTGAGTTGTTACGTTATGTAACGCCCTGTTCAGTGCAGATCGGTAGGAGCTACAGCTCGGGGCTATTGGGAAACACCGGTCTGTGAGCGAGCGCGAGCGCGAGCGCGAGCGCAGTTGCTCGCGGTAAGGGGCAGACCCGTGGTGCGCAAGTGAGAGGATTTGTTGTTGCAAGGAGACTTTCTCAGAACGAAGCAAAGTTCCGCTTCGCCAAGAAATCAGCAGTAGAGTTTTTGGAATAATCTAAGGAGTCATATCCCTACTATTTTTGTAAATGAGCACTTTAGTGTTCATTGAGCTCTCTGCCCTCAAAACTTGAGAATGCAAGCAATTTCAATCATTCCAGTCCACCAGGGGACACTTTGTGGTCCTTTGGTACATCTGGTGGAAGAGAATGGCCGACAGTCCAAAATTGAACGCACGACTGAGGTTCAAATGGAGGGGTCTAGTGTCTAGGTGACAAATGACCTCATATGAGGTCACTTTTCAACTTATTTTTTTCGACTTGTGCTAGCTCAACAAGATGGAAAAAAGATACTCTCGACACGGCAGTTGACTTCTGCGTTGTGGAAGGGTGGAGTTTGGTGAGATCTGCACGTCTTCTCCAGCCATTTTTAAAATGCCCAAAAAGGAGCCTTTTTTGACCAACCTCAAAACGTTTTATGTTGATATCTTCGAAACCAAAACGCCTGTTTAAAAAGTCACCTCATCATTGATAGTTCATTAGATTCTTACTCTCTCTGTGCATTGACAACCGCCATCCCAATGTTTTGCAAGATGTTATTGCCGAGCGCGTATACGTTAAAGAAATGGTGTCCAAACTGAATGTTTTAAAGTTTCGATTTAATTTATATATTTTTGCAAAAAAAAGCTGGCCTCATATGAGGTCAAATTGCTTGTCGTTTAGACACTAGGGCAGGGGTTTTGACCCCCAAAAAAGCAAAATGCGCACTTTAGTGTTCATTTGGAAGCTCCAAATGGAGTTCCAGATGTGCTCAGATTCATTCTTAGGTTGAGCGGGATGCAATCCTGGTGGATTTTCTGACTGCAGGATCTGAATCGAGGGAATGAGGAGCCTGCTGCCGCGAATGAGGACTGCTATCGTCCCGAGTTGCTAGTAACGTCTCCAATTCCCTTTGGTTCTGAACGATTCCATTGCCGCCCGTCCGCTGCCTCGAACGGGGTCTGTCATCTTCGTTGGTCAGATTTCTTCGTGGGCGTACTCTTTCACGAGCGGACGCAACATCAACGCCTCTGTTCGAGTCTTGTTGCGGCGGTGCCGTGTCATCAGATTCAGCTGCTTCAGTTAGAGTGTCACATACAGATAGACGCACGGCTTCATGCCAAATACCCCAGCAGCTCTTGCGCTGTCCCGCGTGTGTTCTTCCGCATTGTGGGATAACTCCTCTCCGCCCTGGGTTGGGTGAGAGGCGGAGGCTATAGCGAGGGAGCACGCCGCGTGGACGCGACGCGCTAATTGAACCGATCGGACGAGCTCGCGAAAAGGGAGTGGCTCACTGGCCGGTTACGCGCAGTCGCCCCATGTTTCGTGAACGGGAGCGACCGGTAACGGGTTAGAAGCCAGCGCGCGCGACAGACAACCGAAACGGACGTATACAGGCGCGAAAGGGACGGGGGCGAGCTTGCCCCCGTTTACTGGTGGGGACGGGTGCCAGGTCTTAACCCCGCAGAGGGACGCCTCGGACACCTGTCCCAGTACAGTATTACAGTACCTGCCGCCTAGTGCGTGCCGGTACTGTACACAATTAAAAAGGTAGCGCCATAATTGCTACTACCGCACGGACGACACGTGTGCTAACGCGCACACGTAACACGCGTAGACTACCGCTCGGACGACACGTGCACTACTGTACACGTACGCCAGATTACGACCGCTCGGCATGCGCGCGGGCTCGCTATACGTGGGCACAACGGCCCACGTGTATACCGTACACGGCCGTCGGATGACCTCCGCGCGCTCGCGCCGGTCATTATACTACAGACCTCTCCCCTAAGCTTTTGCTACGTCCCCGTAGCGACTCTCTACTCGACCGCGCGGGTCCGTTACGGACGTTTCCTTCTATCGCGCACGATGCGGGGACAGAAGCCCCTCCGTGCGGACGATCATGCCCCCTGGCTCGTCAGCGAGCTGGCGGTATATAACGCCGCGGGTTCATCCGATTCGGAGAGCGCGTCTTCCGATTCTCCCCACGCGATCCACACTGACCCCCCAATTCTTCCCCAACACTCCCCTGCGAACTCAGAAACCTCCTCCGACAGCGACGACGACATCCCCCTACAGCGGCTCTTCCACCAACCCATGGACGGTCATCGCGACACTTCTACTGTGCGCGCGTACAGACAGCCGTTGAACCCGCCTCGGGCTCCGGCAGCGGCGCCGGTCGGTCCCACCTTCCAACCGCGGCGACGCCTTCGCGACGGCCTGCATCTGTCCACTGGCGTGGCGGGGCCCGTGCAAGCGCCAATTGATTCGCCGTACCGGTCGGTTCGCCACCGCTGGGCGCCCAAGCAACACAGTCCTCGCCGCTGCCCCTCGGGGGCGTGGCTCCAAGAACAGTCGAGGCGGACCCGGGGCTCCCCGTGGAGGTGCGGTCGCCTCCCATGTCGCCGCTGCCCGCTGCGGGCACGGCGCTCACAGGGGCCGCTTCCGAGGCGCCGTACGCAGCGCCGGCGCCGTCGAGTAGCGTAGCGCTTGCACCGGTCGGACGGAGGGCGACAACGTCGCTGGGGCGGGTATTCACCGCCCCGAGTACCCCGGCCTGGCTGCGCAGCGGCGTCGGCTCCGTACGGTCGCTGTGGCCCGGGTCCTCGATGGACCACCGCCGCCGGCGGGCACGCCGACGCGCCGCGGGCCGCAAGCCTCCGCTTACGGTCGAGGAGTATGTTCAGCGGAACTTGCTGGACGCAGCGAGGTTCGCGGCCATTCCGATGGTGCGCGCGATCAAGACTCCGTCCGGACGCGGTGCCGTGGCGCAAGAGAACCGCGCCGGCGCGTGGAAGGCGCGATGGCGTCACGCTCCGTGCCGGACGCCGGCCGCGATGGGCAGTGACTTGCTCTATGTCCGCTGCGAGGGCGAGGAAAAGTACCACGTCTCGCTGCTGAGCCTCTTCGGTCGGTATCGCCGCTACGAGGGCCTCGCGCCCGACGTCTGCTTGGTGGCCTTTACGCGGCCTTTCGACAGCTGGTACAGCGTTTCGAACCGAGCGCGGTGGGATGAGGACGCAGCGCGCGAGAGTCGGCTGCGCTGGTGCCGGGTGGACGATTTCTTCCACATGTGGCACAGCACCGAGTTTTTCTCGGTGCCCAGCGCCGCGCGGTGCGGCCTGTACCCCGCGCTCCCGCCGAACTGGTCGACGTTCGAGGCGCCGGAGTACCTGTGCGTACCGACGCCGAGCGTCATGGCGTACGTGGCGGCGCATTGGTTGCCGCTCGGCCGATCGAAATCCGCGGAAACGGAGCGAACGCGCGTCTTGGTGCACGCGATCATGCTTTCCGAATGGGCGGTCTTGGCCTTCCTGTGCTTCTTACACGCCGCTCGCGAGGGACTGCCGTTCTTCACGAAGTGTCCCGACCCGCGGCTGATCGCGCGGCGCGAGGAACCGTTTGGTGAGCGCGGCCTGCTCTTCCGCCTCTCGGCGGGGCTCATCGATTTAATCCGCTCGGTCGGTATCGCGGAGATCCTCGAGGGTACGGCGTTTGACGCGACGTACGCGACGCAGCTGTTGGCCTTCACCGAGGGTATGGATTGGAGCGGCCGGCCGGACTTGGTGTGGTTCAGCTGGAACCAGCGGTGTACCCTACCAATGCCCTCCGGAGCCGAGGCCGAGACCGGTGCCGATGGTAGCAGGGCGGCCTCCGATCCAGCGGACGCGACCGTCGCGGTCGACGTGGACGGCGCAGTCGACACGGTCGACGCGGGTGACACGGGCGGCTTGCTTGCCGATGCCGATGTCGCGCCGCCGCGCGATGCGGGAACCGGTGCGGTGAGAAGCGTCGTCGAGACCGCGGTACCGGCCCGCGGCGGATCCGCTCGCGTGGCCTCGATCCAGAGCGACTCACCGAAGGGGTTAAGAGAACCCCCCGGTGTAGTGGGAATTTCGGCCCCCACCTCAAGCCCCCCACACATCAGCGTGGTGACCGGTACCGAAGGCGATCATCGTCCCGTTCCGATGCTGCCTCCTTCCGCTCCGCAACCGTCCGGCCGGTCTTCCCCGGAGCGCCTCCGTGAGGAGGCCGCGTTCACTGCCCTGCAGTACGCTTGCTCCTTCGAGGGGGCAACAGTTCCTTCGTCGGTTGAGCAGGCGCTGCTGCAGGCGCGCGAGTGGATGCACCAAGTGAAGCAGTTGGAGACGACCGTCGCGGCACTCCGAGAGGCCTCCACCGCGGCGGAGCGTGAGCGCGTCGAGCATCACGAGAACTTCCGCGGCGTGCAGGACATCCTCGCGGTCGTCAGCCAACGTCTCGCGGCGCCGCCGATGCCTGCCGCTACGGTCGGAGCCTCGCGCCCCGCGCCCGAAGATGCCGCGGCGGCTCCGCCGGCTA